CTTGCCGGCTCCGAGACTACCCCGTGCTTTCTCTCGTTTTCGTTGCTCAGGTCAAAACGTGGTTTCAAAATCGCAGAGCCAAATGGAGGCGTCTAAAGCAGGTACGGGGATGTTTCCGTTTCTATAGAAATAAGTATTTTAATTGTCTTATCTTACGCCCTGCTCGCCTATTCCAGGTTGTATGCAGAAGTCATCTGAAAGGCTGTTTAACCTCTTCACCTTGATTAAAAAGACAAATAGTCATGCTGGAATCCATGAGGGCTCGTTCAAGCAGCACTAACGTTAAAAGCTCCTAATGTAGTTCCTATATCAATTATGCCCGGCTTTCACACACTGCCTATTAAAACTCCACGCTAATTGTTTTGTAAACCCATATGTTGTTTAGCCAATTAACGTGGAGAAGATAAGTAATTGTCAGTAAATTACTTAGGCAGTTGTTTTGGAGAAGAATATTTACTGGTCTTTTAAATCGCCCTCTCTTAATAAACACAAGTCGATTTATTCTGCAAATGTTGGGAGAGGCAGGTACAAATGCCTTGTTTGTTTTGAGGAGCCGCATGGAAAATTGAGTAGCTTTTACTTTTCGTTTACAAATCGTTACAGTGTATGAGGCTGAGAGGTTGAAGCCGTTTCCCTTCCCTTAGGAACTGTGCTCAAGCAGATAAATCTTTTTTTTTATGGCCCAGAGGGCTTGATCCTGCCCGGCTCGGCCAGATCGAGGGCCCTTGGCTCAGAGATTTAAGAAAAATCCCTGCATTGTGGCCCGAGTCTGGCTTCAGTAAGTGGGACGTGGACAGCCAAGTTTTACTGGTAAATCAGCCTTTAATATAAAAATAATAAGAAAAGAAAACTAATCGCAATACCACGCTCCAGGTGTATTTGTTCTGTGACCTTCCCCCGGGTTTAACCCATGCTTCACTTGATCTTTTTGAATAAACCCCTTTACTCGGGCAAGAGGCAGGCTGGGTCCCCGGCGGTGCCTCCTCAACAGGGCCCGACCCATGCCGCAGTGTCCGGAGAGCTCGCTTGGGATCTCGGCCATTTTAAGTCATTTCCTCCTTTTCATTCACTCGCATCCATTTCTCCGAGCCCGCACGGTTATATCATGGGTACGTGTCTCTGCCTGCTTTCTCTTAAGAGTATCATTTCATGCCCCCTTAGGGGACTGGGCTCCCCAGACGGCTGCCGATGCAGGGCTACTCCTGCCTTTGGAAACGGGGTTTTGTTTTGGTTTGGTTTGTTTTTAATGGTGAGTGTTTTAATGTTGAGTTTTAGCTTCATTAGTAATTTTTCCCGTTTGCTTTCAGGCCACTGGTGGATTCGGCCTCCCTCCTTTTGCCGTTGGGTGTAATTAAAGAAAGATCAGGGCAGGAGGAAGCTGTGTGTCAGTGTTTGTAGACTCATAATAAACATTTGCTTTGCTAAAGACAAAAGTTCAGAGGTTCCTGGGCTCCGGCAGCTCCTGACTCTTTTGAAGTGGCTGTGATAACCATCGCCAAGGAGCCTTATTCACGGCAGCAGCCCCTGTGGCTGCCGGCGAGTGGGATCAGAGCCGAGCCCCTGCGTGGGGCTGAGCCCTCACCCAGCCCGGTCCCACTCAGGCAGGTTTATAGGCAGGAGGCCCGGGGAGGTAGCGGGACACCTGCCTTTTCCTGCAAGAAACCCAAGGTGGTGGTCCCACCCAGCACAGCTGGAGTTCCCAGGCCTTCTGGCTCCATGGCCCGTATTTCTGTATAAAGCAGGCTTCTTTCATTGCAGGAGAACCCCCAGGCCACCAAAAAAGAAGTGGAAGGTGCTGATAGTCACAGTGACCAAAGGCTGGAGAGCTGCCCGACCCCGGAGCAGAAGGGTAAGGAGGTCTCCCTGGACGGCTCGCAGTACACCCCCTCGCCGGCCTCACAGGAGGACCTGGAGTCAGACGTCTCCGACGACTCCGATCAAGAAGTGGACATTGAAGGCGATAAAGGCTATTACAATCCTACCCACTAACGGCCCCACGCGGAGAGTGGACCCTAACTCAGCTTGCACTTTACCAGGGGCTGGTTTGGAAGAATATTATGCTACAGGAGAAAACTTTCACGGTTCCAGTGAAAGAAAAAAAAAAAAACCAAACACCAAATAGACTCGTTTTATAATAAGCAGAGAAAGAAAGATGTATTTTCCACAAACAGACAATTTTTGGCAGATCTCTAATTTGGTTAAAGGAGCATGGTTTGTATTTAATTATTTGTAAGATATTCTTGTACATTAATCGATGTTCTAACTGGAATATAATACTGCACCCTGTCCTTACTCACGGGGGGTCTGAATCAGCTGCTGTTGGTGATCAGGCAAAATTCCTCTCTAGCTAGTGTGGAAGTGAGTATGGATTGCAGGACTAAGCCCTTTCTATGTGTAAACAAATGTAGTTTTAAATAGATTAATTTAAACGTCCTTTGCAAGCAGAGAAACACGTTCTGTGAAATAGGGGGGGATTTGACCATCCCGACAAGTGCCTTATGCTCACACCCTTTTACCTGCCGTGGTGCTCTCCACTCTGTTCCTCGGGTAGAGTCTTTGGACAGACTCATTTTTTGCTCTTGCATGAGATGAAATGTGCCTTCTCAGATTTTTGAGGACTTTGCCCTGCAATCTGGATGGTTCCATTTGCAGGGGAAAAAATTACATATTTTTTCTCCTTGAAAATCTCCAGCGCTGTTTGTTACAGATTTTGTATTTGAGAAGAAAATGCAGGGAGTGATAGGGTCCTGCTGCAGGAGAGAAACTGGCATCGGCTGTGGAGGATAAGTGAGGCACACAGCCGCAGGAAGATAATGCCTATTGTATACATATCTGCTTCTGTACATACTGGTTTTCTTTAAAAGTCTTGCGGTTTTATACCTCACGTTGTTCATATTTTGTACATATTTGTTCAATGTTTTAAAAAAAAAAAAAAAGCAAAACGTGGTATTTAATTTTCGATGGACTTGTCTGTGAAATAAAAACCTAAACTCTGCACCACCCACCACGCTGGCCGTCCAGTTCCTGGCAGGAGAAATCCCAAACCTCCCCCCCGCCAGCAGTGCCCCAGGCGTGTTGTAATCGGGCTTTTCCCTCCGGTACCGTACCGGTCACCGGCCACCCTGCGGCTCTCTGGGCGCCCTCGCCTTGCGGGGATCTCGCCTGGGCTCATCGCTTGTTCTTTCACCGTTTCCCAGCCTGCCACCCCGCGTTTCGGTTTCGCCTGTGCCCGTGCCTCCCTCCACGCCTCCGGCCCGCTCGGGCTGTGCGGCGGGAGGAGGAGAGCCTGCTCTGCGGGCCCCGGCGGGGAGCGTGGGTGTTCCCCCCCGAGTCGCCCCGACCCTGGGGGTGCCGGGGGGAGCGGGGCCGGCGGTGCCTGCTCGGGGCCGGGCATCGACCCCCGCCGGGGCAGCCCCTGCGGGAAAGGAGCACGGAAGCCGGGGGTGCGGGGAAATGCCCCCGGGACCGGGCATCCCGGGGGTGGGCCCCCAGGCGGGTCAGCCCGCACCCTCCGTCGTCTTCAGCCCCCCCCGAGCGCCGCAGCGAGCACCCAGGGGACAGGGAGCTGCCCCCGGCCGGGTGCCATGGAGGCTTTTAGTGCCGGGGAAGGATTTGAGAGAGCAGCAAGTGACTGTTCTGACTGGCGAGGGGGGACGGCCCTTAGGGCAGCCGGGGCGTCGCGTCTCAGCGGGTTCACGCTTCGAGAAAGAGCAGCTGAGTTTTCTGAATAACTGAGCTTTGGTTTATTCTCTTAAAGCTGTGTTCACGAGCGGGGCCCGACAACATGGAGTAAAACGGGGAGGCTCCGCTGCCACCTGTTCGTGCGCGCCGGGAAAGGGCAGAAGCCTCCGGCCGCCCCCTCGGCCCCGCAAGCTGCCCCCGCTGGGGACACGCAGGGCCCGGCCTTGCGCGGCCTCCGCTCGCACGGCAGCCCCAGGGAGCGGGGCTCCGGCCCCTGGTTTAAGGCCACCCGTGACAGAAGGGAGCCCAGGCCGGGCCCGGGCGGCTCTGGGGTGTTTCTCTGCCCTTGCGCTCGGATCGAGCCCCGGCGCGGTGCGCCCAAGGCGAGGAAATCGCCGTCGGGAGCAGAAAACGTGCAGCGGGGCTCCGCTGGGGAGGAAAACGCTTTTCCATCCTTCGCGTTTTCCCTCGCTCCGTGTTTCTGTCTCGGGTCTCAGCCCGGGTCCCGCCGTGAGCCCCTGGGGCTGGGCCGCGGGAGCTGCGGGGTGCCGGGAGCAGGGCGGGGGGCGCCGGGGCAGGGGCCTCCCGGCCCTGTCCCTTCCGTTTTCCCTCCTCTTGTCTGCCTGTCCCGACCGAGACCAGGGAGCACGAAACTGGCGTTACCTCTTCGGGGCGGCTTCGTGTTACGGCTGGGCTTTCGCGCGGGGACGGGAACACGCGTGGGACAGACCCGCCGCCACGGGTGGGCGACAGGCGGCGGCTCGGGGGTACGGGGCCTTGGGTAAACCCCGCTAAACCCCATTTCCAGGCGCGGCGATGCCGGCATCCCCCGGCCGGGGCAAGCCGGGAGCCACCCGCGCTGAAAGACTGGCCGGGCCCGCGGGGACGGCAGGGGCCGGGGCTCTGCCCGAGGCACGGCGCGGGTTTGCGTCCCAGCCGGGGTAACACGGTCCCGGCAGGGCCAGCCGCTTACTCTGCCCGAGGCACGGCGCGGGTTTGCGTCCCAGCCGGTGTAACGCGGTCCCGGCAGGCCCAGCTGCTTAAACCCAGGCGCCTTCCTAGCGGGGACAGGGGATTTGGCGGCTCCCCGCAGGTGGGGAGCGCAGATGGACCGTCCGCAGCCGCCGGGCCGGGGATGTGGATTTCCAGGGTGTCGGGACAGGTGACAACAGCGCTGTCACCCAGGCTCGGCTGTGGAAATGCCCTTGCTGTCCCACCCCCCCGGGGAGGGGGGTCAGGGCTTCGCGGCGCCCAGGTAAAACACACCTTTTTTTACACGCCTTAAAACACAGCGGGGCGGAGAGCCACGGGCTGAGCTGCCGGCTGCCGTGAGAGCAACGTCCCGCCAGCAGCTGTCCCTAGCGCCCCGAGCCCGTTTCCACAGCGGGGAGACCCGCGTGGGGATGCCCACGGCGGGGCGGGCGGGCGGCTCTCCCCGGGCCGTCTCTTCTCCTCGGCGGGAGAAAAACAGCCAAAGCACTTTACACCGTTCGGTAAAAGCTTCGAGCCCCTTCCGTGCCACCCTGCTTTTCCCCGTTTGTTTGCCTGTTGGCTATTTCATGCCGAACTAGCACGTATGACCTTTCCAGCACAACTCCCGTCTTGTTTTCGACTCTTTTATCAGCCGATTCAACTTGAAAATGGTTATCATTTAGCAGAAAAACAAACAGAAAAGCACATTTTTGTAAGCAAAACGTTAATGATTGGAAGAATTGCACCAATTTCAGCTTGACAGTGTGTGATTAATCCTCCGGGTCAGGTACTTATATTTTTAGTCATTAGGTTCGTCGGCCTTTGATATCCAGAACTCTTTCTAGCCTAATAGGATATCGAC